ATGTGTGATCTAATGAAGCTTTGCCAACATTAATTATCTTGTCTTATATAGGTACAGACCTGCATTATTTGTGAATTTCACGCTCCATACTTCTTTCTCTGTGAAGAGAAGTAATCGCTGAAGCTTTGTGTTGGGCCAGGACTCAGTGCTGTCAGTAATAATCTTTTATTTAAGGCCCTGCCTGCAAATGAAGAAGTGCTATTCCACCCTTTACACAGACGCTCCCCTCCTTCCCTGTCTCTCATATCTATAGAGGTAGGTGAATAAAGGCTAATAATGTTAAAGAGCTGTTACTGAACTTAAGCTGAAAAAGGTGACAAGAGATCAAGCAACTAATAACAGCCCAAACCTCAGGAGGTACACCTTGTAATAAAAGTTTGCATGTACTTTAAAGTGATTGGATGAATGGTAATTACAAGATTTATGTATTCAGGTCTAATTACAGAAGAGAGAGAAGAGGCTTAAATTTTAAACCTGCTCCATTTGACCATGAGAGGAAAGCCCTGTACGAATGAGAGGCCAGAAAGTGTATCTAAAAAGCTTACTTATACATATAAATTTGTAATTTAAAAAAAACTGAAGAGAATTACATAAGTAAATAAACAATATTTAACCATGTTATTTATTACATTTTGATGCAAAATTAGTGTCTGTTGGTCATTCCGTGAAAATACTATTTTATCAAATAATCTGGATGCCTTGTGACTAATGTCTCAGTTTTAACGTTGATATCCATGAACTATTTAGTTATCAGACAGTCAGGATAAGGCGTTACTGCCATCTATTGGATGTAGAGGATAGTTCACCCAAATATGAAAAATTGCCAATGATTCATTCACCCTAAGTCATCCTAGATGTATATGAAATTCTTATTTCAGACGAATACATCCGGAGTAGGCCTACTAAAAATGTCCTAGCTCTTCCAAGCTTTATAATGGCAGTGAATTGCTGTTTTGAAGTACATAAAAATACTCCACACAGCTCCAGGGGCTTAAACCTTCTGAAGCGAAGCGATGTTTTTTTAGAAAAATATCCATATGAAAAAGTTTATAAAGAAAAAAAAAATTGCTTCCAGCCAAAAGAACATACAAATTTAATTTAAGCAATTCACTGCCATTTTAAGCTTGGAAGAGTCAGGATTTTTTTTTTTATTATAACTATTCTTCTGAAAAAAGAAGGTCATATACACAAAGGATAATTTGAGCGTGAGTCAATCATTGAGTAATTTTCATTTTTGGGTGAACTATCCCTTTAAGCCTAGTCCCATCGCCCTTTAAACCTGATTAACAGAAATTAGCTTTCTCTCTGTCATGGGATTAAATAGTTCTAGACTTAGTCTAGTCCAGAGTTTAATAAACTGATTTCCTGGAGGAAGACTAGAGCAAGGACTAAACTGAGGCTTAAAGGGATAGTTCACCCAATGAATATTCTGTCAGTAATTACTCACCCTCATGTTGTTCCAACCCCGTAAGACTTTCAATCATCTTCGGAACACAAATTAAGATATTTTTGATAAAATCTAATAGCTGGCTCAATCCTTCATAGACTGCGAGATAATTTCATCTGACGGCCCACAAAAGTTAGAGCACTACTCCATCTGTCCAGACCCTTCAGTTTCCCAAGTCCGAGCATGTTGATAAGCTCTTTATAATTTTTCAATATAGTTCAGGTCAGGGTACTGGGATGGCCATGCAGAAAAGTCATTTTGTGCTCAATTACTTTTTTTGTGTGGTGTTGATTTTTAACATCTACAGTGTATGGATAAGTGACTTACAGTAAGTGTTTATCAGACAGTCAGGAAAAGGTTATACTGCCATCTATTGGTTGTATGTTACTCTTATTGCCCAAAGGTCTCATGCCACTAAATTAGCCAATTAAGGTATTCTGATAAAAATTCACTGCTGGGAACCAAAAAAATAAAATAAATAAATACAAATAAAAATATAATAACCACGTGTAATTTTTTTACACAGTTTAACACAAACTGATATATAAACATTATTTTGAGTAATTGCAAACCCTACAAATATAAAGTACTCTTTCCCCTCACAAAATTACATGTTATTATGGAAAGCACACCCTCTTTCTCTCCTTCTCCCAAACAAATCCAAACATCTAAAGTGGATAATTAAAAGTTGTTATTAACCCTTTGATGCACAACATGGGTCTAAATAGACCCGACTGAGTTTTCATTTTCTATATCTTTGCAAGAAATTAATTTCATCACTCAGTATTCCAGGTATTCCTCAATTAACTTGTTTTTGATCATCACAAATCCTTATTTTTATTTTTCATTTCTTACTTTTTGAATAAAAATAGTTTTTGTATAGCAACCCTTCTAATGCGCAACATGGGTCTAAAAAGACCCGTATTCATTTCCTATGGTATTTCAGGGATGGCTGAGTGTTTTCTTTGCTGAATCTTTAAAATATATGTATTTTATCATTTCTTATTCCAGATATTTATTAAATATCTTGTTTTTGATTTCCACAAACCATTGGGTTTATGTTTCCTTTCTTACTTTATAAACAATCACAATTTTTGTATTTCTACATCAATTTTACATACATGGGTCTAAAAAGACCCGTATTGATTTCCTATGGTATTTCAGTGATGGCTGAGTGTTTCTTTGCTGAATCTTTAAAATATATGTGTTTTTTTTTTATCATTTCCTTTTCCAGGTATTCATTAAATATCTTGTTTTTGATTTCCACAACTCATTATGTTTATGTTTCCTTTCTTACTTTATAAACAAACACAGTTTTTGTATTTATACATCAATTTTACATACATGGGTCTAAAATGACCCATATTTATTTGCTATGTTATTTCAGTGATGGCTGAGTGTTTCTTTGCTGAATCTTTCATTTAAAATATGTTTTTTTTAATCATTTCTTATTCCAGGTATTCATTAAATATCTTGTTTTTAATTTCCACAAATCATTATGTTAGTTTTTTTTTTATTTATTTCTACATCAATTTTACATACATGGGTCAAAATTTTTTATTAATCTTATTTTATTTTAACCACAGACATTTTATATATATATATATATATATATATATATATATATATATTGTAAAAGATAACAACATAATATCTCAATATTAGGCTATGGTTACCTTGACCTTGTAATCCTAGTGAGAAATCCTAGTGAGAAGGAGAAACATGTCCAATACTATTAGCTAGCTAGCTGTTGACATATTCTAGCTAGCTAATGTTAACTACACAAAAAAGATTGTTTTTTAAAGCTTATTTACATTTAGTAGGCCTAACAGTTCATAGTCATTCATATGCTGAAATGATTCTTATACTGAAATCATTCTATGATTGAAATGATGCCCAGCTGCCAAAGACAGAAAAGTCAGCAACTGGTGTTCTCAGAGCACCAGGCCTGTGTGCAAGGAGCACAAACGTGTAGTTGTCATTTTTGACTGAGGCATGTAAGCACTAAGATGGCAATTTGAGATGCCGCTGTACCAGTGTGATTTTATTTTTTCTGTTTTTTTTCTTTTATTTGGTCACATTCACCACAATTCAATACAGTTACACTACACCACAGTTCAATTTCAGTGTTATCAGTTATCAGTTATCTGTGATATGTGAATGCTATGCGAGACAAAGTGGCAAATAAACATTTCAAGTGTTAAATATGTTGTTAAAATTACTTCTAAGATTATCAATTTAACAAAATGTTGTCTTTATTCTTTTGTTTTATTATGCTTGATAAGTACATTTGATATAGTAACACAAAACCTAGAAAAAAATGAAAAAAAAAAAAAAATTTGGTAATTGAAAACAATATTTTTTTAATATTTATAAGTCATGAAATTTATAGATAATGGAATATTAAATGCTTAAATAAATTGATCTCAAAAGATAAAAAGAAAAGAAAAGTCCAGCCATGCATTAAATAACATAGGACATGAATACGGGTCTTTTTAGACCCATGTATGTAAAATTGATGTAGAAATACAAAAACTGTGTTTGTTTATAAAGTAAGAAAGGAAACATAAACACAATGATTTGTGGATATCAAAAACAAGATATTTAATGAAGACCTGGAATAACAAATGATAAAATACATATAGTTTAAAGATTCAGCAAAGAAAACACTCAGCCCTCACTGAAATACCATAGGAAATGAATACGGGTCTTTTTAGACCCATGTTGCGCATTAGAAGGGGTATCCATAGCTTGCGCATCAAAGGGTTAAAACAGCAGGTTTTTATGCAAAATTAAACAAAGACAAATTATGACACGACTCAACAGCCAGTCCTTTCAGAAAAACGCTGAGTTTTTTGTGATTGTTGTGGGCAAAAAGTCATTTCTTATTACTTCCTATGATAAGCAAGCAAATACATCACAGAAAGTGCTGGAATATTTAATTTCTCATCTTGTTTTATTTCAGGCCGTGGAAATAAGGTGTTCAACTCTCTAATTTTAAATTTCATATTTAAAAGATCTTAGTTACAACAGAGTAGTTATAATGATACAAATAATGACATCAATCTTCATACCAATTAAGGTTCATAATACAATAATTGCATACTGTACAAAGATTAAATTATCATACTATTATTAAAATTGAAAAAAAAATGCGTAATCAACACGCTTTCAGAACGAACATGCTACAGTTTATTGCGCTGTAAAGGCTTAGTCCTATCATGCAACTCGGTTAATAAACAATTCATTTTCCAGCATTAAAGGATAGGCTAATATATGATGATGCATTCAAGACTGTTTAGCAAATTACCAGTACGTCGGCAGCGTTAACTTTCCAATGAAATGCATCAATTGTTTTTAAAGTTAAACAAATAAAAAGTGATTCGCATTTGATAGGCTACTCACACTCTGATGTCATCCACCTTCGCTAGCGTTGTCACTAAAAACCTAGGGTCCTAGAAACGCGGTCCTAGAAGTGGGGTCCTGAAAATGCAGCCTCTGTTTTTGCAAGCAAATGCTACTTCCTCCGTTTCACAGCAACTTATCACAGAAACAAAAGTGAAAATAAGCAGGAGGGCGTGATTCAACTATAACAACGCTGACGAGTAATTTCCCCATTAACCAGATCGATCACGATGGATAAATATCCCCTCACTGTCGAGGGAGACTGGGGAACTGAAAACGCTAAAAGTGTGAAAAATAAACTTCTTATTCACTTTCAGAGTAAGAAGAAATCTCATGGAGGAGACTGCGACGTGCAATATAATGGCGAGAGCAACTCTGCTACAATTCTGTTCAAATCATCTGACAGTAAGTGCTACAAACAAAATGTTAATATAACACGTTTTTACATATATGTAACGTTCTGATAAGTAAATTAAATCAAGCTGTTAAGATGTTATCATGATATTCAGAACTTAACTCAGGCACACCAACAATAACAACACATAGTTTCCATTTTTATGAGAGCAAAATTTGTATTTTGATGCATCTGACTATGTCTGATTGTTTTTAAGTTCGAGATGCCGTACTCCTTCAGGAAGAACACATTATTACTATTGACAGTCATAAAATCAAGCTGAAAGTGTACAAACCCAGCGATGCAGACAGCACTGGACAAAAGGTGAGATATTACCACAAATTCCATCTTGACTGCATCAAGTCAATACTTTTGAACAATATATGGTCTATCATAAAAATCTGAAACTTATTTTATTATACAAACATGTTTTATAGTTTCTTTAGAACTGGTTGTTATTTCTCTATATTGTTGAAAGAGGGCGGAGGAGAGAACACGTAATGTTTTCTACATGTTTTGTTCTCCATGTAGTCATAAATGCTTTATATGTTTGTGTTCAGACGGCGCAGGCATGTGGAAATCAGAAACCAAGTAAGACACTCATCTGAACTTTGTCTCCAGCTCCTTGTATCACGTGTTATTTCATTATTTAGGTTATCTTACTGTTATTACCCATGTATTTACTCCTTTTCAGCAGTAACGATATCAGTCATGTATTTGTAACCCCCTTCCCCTCACCTCCTCAGTCCCAAAAAACCCCAACAACAATCATTTGCTGTATAATTGCCTATATAGGGAGTCTTAAAATAAAATCCTTCCATTTACAAGAGAAGAATGTGTTGTGGTGTATCTGACTAAGCCTGATTGTTTGTGTTTAAGGCAGAGATGACAAACTATTCCAGGCAAAACATATCAATACAACTGACAGCAATCAAATCAAGTTGAACGAGTCCAAATCCAGTGATGCAGAGAAACAGGGAGACAGCAATGGACAAAGAGTGAGTAGACTTATTTTAAAATGCTAAATTAGGAACAACAGTGCTTTGCTTTTCCAAATAAACAATGAACAAGTGCAAACCAAACCCTTTAGTTTGAATCAAGCCACTGCTACAGTATAAATGGTCTATAAGAATTTAGAACATTAGTCATTAAAATATTACTGTTTTATTGTTGAGATGTAGGCACAGTTTCTCTATAGGAAGATGGTTGCCATTTTTCTGTAATGTTTCACAAGGTCGGAGATTAAAAAAGAACAAATAACTTGTCCAACTTGTTTAGTATGGTTTCTATTTGTACATATTCTAAATGTTTTACATTTGTCTGGTTCTAGATGGGGCAGGCAAGTGGAAATCAGGAAGTAAGTAAGTAATCATCTGGAAATATGTAAATGTGATATTTTTTATTGGTTAGGTTGTTTTACTGTTATAGCTGATGTACATAAATAATGTTCATATTCAATTATAAAGACATGAATCAGGTAGTTACCTCATTGGTATAAAAATATTGAGGTTAGGTTAATTATAGGCAGACCTAAACAAGTCACTTTTAATTTTCCTGAAGGTCAAAGTGTCCCGCAATTCAAGCTGGATGTGAAGAATCCTCAAGAGTCAAGTGCTGTGGTCTTGGAGGACCTTCCAGATGCTTTTAATTCAGATGTTGTGACTCTTTTGGTGGAGAACATTACAAGTCTTTCTGAAAAAGACTTTGGCATGGAATTAATACCAGAATTAGGAAAAGCAGTTGTGACGTTTAAAAATCCCAGTGGTAAGTTGTTCTGCTCATATAAAAATGTTGACTGAAAAATATCGACCACTTACAAAGGATTGAAACCATTTCAAAACTGTACTCTTTAAACCTGCTATGTGTTCAAGGCGAGAGACAAGGATATCATGATCAATCATCTGAACTTTGTGCCATCCAACAAAGTGTTTGTCGCCATCTGCCGGTGTAGTGTAGGGTTGCCATTTGTCCCGGGACATTCCGATTATTGGGCCTAATTTATTTGTCCCCGCACGAGATCTGACTGATACAACAGCAACACGACACTTGAGAACGACCACGACACCGGTCATCATCCAGTCATGTGCATCCGACCATACAAATAAACTATAAATTGTGAATGAATTATCTAATCTATCTCAATATAATCTAATTCTAAAAACCTCACATACTGATGCCCGTAAATTAGTTCAAATCTCCTGGAATCTAGAGCTGCACATGCGAAACAGAGAATAGCCTACTGTATGTGCGACATCGCCTTTTTTTTTTTAACCGTTCAATGAAACAATTTATACAAAAAACTGGTTCACAGAAATTAAATAACACCATTAATACTTTATACCTACAGTTGCAGGACAGTTCCTTGAGGACAGCAGAACACATGAAAAGTTCAAGAAGAGTAATCTGAGGGCCTGTGCACTGGAGAGAAGCACATGTGTGCGGGTGGAGAATCTTCCAGCTAAAGCCAACAACAACGAGATGCTGCTGGAGCTTTATTTTGAGAAATTTGGAGGTTCAATAGAGGAAGTTATCACAATTCCAGCAGAACAAGCAGCCATTATTACCTTTAAGGAGGAAGAAGGTATAGTTCAAGTTCAGTTTTATTTATATAGCACATTTACAACAGCCACTAGGCTGACCAAAGTGCTTTACAGAACACCAAGATTAAAGGAAGATATAACATGCATAACAACAAAAATAAAAGCAACATAGCTAAGAGTAACCATAAAACAGGAGTAGCAAAAGAGTATCAGCCTCAAAAATAAATCAGTAAAACCAGCCAAAGAAAAGAATCAGTATACTAAAGAAAACAGGTAGGTTTTTATTAAAGACTTGAAAGCAGACAGAGAAGGGGCCGTTCTAATCTGTAGAGGCAGGGTGTTCCAGAGTCGTAGCTCTGCCACTGCAAATACACACTCCCCTCTACGCTTGAGGGACTACCATCCGAGCCTGTCACACGTTCTTAGGCTTCTTGATGGAGTGTAGGGATGAAGAAGTTCAGAGAGATAGGCAGGAGCTATAGAGATTTAAAAAACAAAGAGTAGAATTTTAAAATCTATTCTCAGATGAACTGACAGCCAGTCTAGAGATCTGAGAATAGGAGAGATATGATCATATTTATGACACTCGAAGAAGTCTGGCCGCAGCATTTTGTACAAGCCGAGTACAATTTGCGGGTCATCTGCATAAAACTGAATGGACACACCATGTTTTCTTATAACAGAGCCCAGAGATAGCATGCAGAGAGAAAAGAGATACAGTAGGGAGACAAAATAGAGCCGTGTGGAAGGCCACAAGGAGAAATTACCCATCTTTACTAAAAACTTTCTGTCAGACAGGTATGACTGAAACCATTTCAGAACAGTAGCTTTTAGATCTAGACTAGCGTCTTGGGTGGGTCTAAAAGCTTCTGTTCTGAAATGGTTTCAGTCAAACCTGTCTGACAGAAAGTTTTTAGACCCTGTTTGGAGGCACTTGTTCATAAGAGATACCATACCTGACCCAATCGAATCAATAATTAATTTAATAAATCTTGGGTGAATGATATCGTTGGGACAAAATGAAGGTTAGAGCTTGACAATCACTTCCTTCAGTGTCTGGAGGTTGATAGGTTCCAAAACCTCCCTAAAAGCAGAAACAGGTGACAAGATTTGGGAATCACTTAAGTTAGGGCAGAACGCTAAGTTTTAAGTTAGTAATTTTGTTAATTAAAAAAATCTCACAAAGCCTTCACATAGAGCATCAAAAGCAATAGCCAATGTGTTAACAGAAGGATTAACAACAAACTGATGAACTGAAAACAAAACCTTTGGTTTAGAGTGATTGGATTCAATTAAGTAGAAATATAAATGTATATTAAATACATATACAATTGTTTGTAGACTTTTCTGTTATGGTTCTAGACAACATCAATATCATTGCATTTATTCATTGTACATGCAACTTTTACTCTTTACAGCCAAAGAGAGAATTTTGAAGCAAGAGAATAACATCTGTGAGGTTCCAGTCAAGATATATCCCTACTTTAAATCACTGGATACAGTCTTGTATGGTGGCAACAGACCACATTTGAAGCTGCCTGAACCCATTACAGTCAGTGTACATCCTGCCATCAGGAAGTTCCTCCTCATGAAAGCGGAGATTTCCTCTATTAGTGACCAGATGAGCTCACATTTCTGCAAAATAAACTTGGGCAAACCTGAAGCTTTGCTTAGTCCTGATCCAGCATTACTGAAACAGAAAGGAGTGACCAGAAGACACATTGATGGCTGGAGTAAGAATGCCTGTGATGCCTTCAAGAAAATAATCTCAAACTACACAACATCTGAGTGGCCGGTGTCACAGCCCTTGTGGTCTAAAGTGGAGAGTGATGTAAAGGAATTGGTGAAAGACAAGGTGTTCACAGATATAGATGCCTCTAAAGGTGTACTGACACTGGCGGGAATGACCCATGAGATTACTGGACTGAAGCCCATCATGGAGAAAATTATAGAGAGAGCAACAAATCAAATGGAGAGAGAGAAGATCAGTGTGACAGACCATATGGAGATTTCTCCTGCCATGTACTCTCTGCTTTTACAAGATGGCCTGAAAACTGCTGTTTCTCCACAAATGCACATTGACTACAATAAAAACAGACTAAATTTGTCAGGAATTCATTCAGAAATTCTTGCATTCAAAAATTGGGTCCTTGAGAAGAAAATAAATATGAAACAGAAGCCCTTAAAGATTGACCGTTCAGTCCTGGAGTTCCTGAGATCAGTCAACTGTGATGAAATGTCCACAGATCTCTTTATATCTCATAGAATAACTGCTGTCTACACAATCGAGAATGGAGATGTTGTTGTGAGTGGGAGCACAGAAAAAGCACTTGTTGAGGCAGAGAAGAGGGTGAATATGGTTCTTGCATCCAAAGAGCTCATTGTAGAAGATCAGGGCGTCCTTCAAATGCCAGAGTGGCAAGATCTCAAAAAACAATTGGAAGAAACGTTTAATACTTCTAAAAAGAAAT